TCAGACCCCCCCCGCCCCGTGTCTCCTGGCGCTGCCCAGGGAGCCCAGGTGGGTCAGCCCGTGGCTGGGGCCCATGTGCTGAGAGGGGTCCCCAGTGCTGGCGGGGGCAGTACCTGGAAGGCTAGCTGGCAGAGCTGTGCTATCCACTCGTCCCGCCGCTCGGCTGCCAGCACGTGGCTCTTCTCGATGGTGTTCAGGTAGAAGGCAGCCGTGTCCTTGGGGCAGCTGGGGGCGTCAGCCGGCCCCACAGAGACGCAGTCTGCGAGCCGGATGACCCGGCGCTCACACTTCCGCAGGGACGTCTTCTCTGGCCCGGAGCCGTTGTCCCGCGCATCGCACGTCTCCAGCCGGGCAACGCCCCAGGGGCCGGTGGCAAAGAGCTGGGCCCGCACCTTCCTCCAGAACTTCTGGGGTGGGGGGCAGATAGGGCAGGACTCACCCCAGGGGCTCAGCGCAGCCCTATTCACCCCCAAACAATGCACATGGCTCCTGTGCCCACGGGGCAGCCAGCGGGAGGCAGCAGAGAGCAGAGCGGGGAGGAGGGGCCGGCAGGGACTGCCAGAGGGCCGCAGGTCCAGCCCCCCGCACCGGGGCAGGACTAAGTCAACCTGGCCCCCCGACGGGTTTGTCCAAAATGGTCTTAAAACCCTTCCACGATGGGAACTCCACAGCCTTGCCCGGCCCCCTGGCCCAGCGCTGAACCGCCCGGAGAGTCAGGCGGTTTCTCCTGCTCTCTAACCCCAGGCTGAAGCCCATTGCTGGGGACAGCACCCTTTAGAAAAGCCCTCCCCAGACGGGGAGGCCGGTATCAGGTGCCCCCTCGGTTGCTTTTCTCCAGACAAAACACACCAGTTTTTTAACCCTTCCTCACAGGGCAGATTTTCTAAACCTCTGATCATGTTTGTTGCTCTGCTGCCTCTGGTCATTTGTCCCGATCTTCCGTGAAGTGCGGCTCCCCCCCGGACACAGCACTCCAGCTGCGGCCCCACCAGTGCCCAGCAGCGTGGGAGTCAGCGCCTGTCTGTTAATACACCTGGACTGAGTCGCCTTTCTCACAGCTGCCTCACTGTCCATTTATGGCCCACGCTGGGCCAGCCCCTTTCCCGGGTATTACCACCTCGTCACACTCCCCAGTTGGGAGCTGGGCATTTGATTTTTCCTTCCTAAGTGAAGCACTCTGCACTTGTCTCTAGTGGGTTTCATCTTGTTGATTTCAGACTGATTTTCCCAGCAGGAGACAAGGCTTCGGGGAGGGCCTGCTGGGCCCCTCCCCAGAGCCTTGGCGCAGGACGGCCCACGCCCGCAGACCCCGATCTTACTCTGCGCGTGGCGCATCAGCTCCTGGGCAGGTCCCTGGAGCCTCAGCCTCAGGAGCACCAAGGCGCGAGGCAATTCCACAGGGCTTCCAAGCCTCCCACTAGTGGCTGGCCAGCGCAGCCGCCCTCAGCACCTTAGCTTGGCTTCCGCGGGGCCACGCAGCGAGGCAGCGACGGGGCGGGCTAGGCCCCGAGTCCTGATTCTGGCTCCCTGCTGTACCCACTGGCTGCCCTCTCCGCGGCTAGGCCTTGGCCCTGGCCTGGGCTGGTGGGGCTGTTTTTAGCCCCGAGCTAGATGCAAATTAAGCCATTTTGAGCCATTTGTTTTCTCGATAGCAGCCCCACATCTGCTGCATGAGCCCAGGCCCTGGAGCCAGCAGCAGCCACATCCTCCCAGGGGAGGGTCTGCACCAGCCAGCACCTGGCCTGCCGGAGCACCGTGGGGGGGGGGGGGGAAGAGGGGGCGGTGGCCCCCCAGCCCCAGGGGAGCAGGACAGAACAGTGTGGCAGCAGCTGGATCCGCGGGCCTGGCCCAGCAGAGACTAAGGGATGGAAGGCAGGTGAGCCTGGCTCGCAGCACCCACCAGCCCACAAATACCTGCCCCAGCAGGGGAGCAGAGTGCTTTCAATGGGGGGGGGGGGGAAATGCACTACAGCCCCCCCAAGGAGGAAATCTGTTCCCGGCCAAGCTGTGTTGCTCATTGTAATAAAATGAGCTGTTCCCAAAGCAGTGTGGCTTTTAGTTAATCATCCAATCCCTACACTTGGGGGGGAGGGGCTAAGCCCCCCCACCCATGGGTGCCTATGCTCATGCAAGTGGTCGCCATGTGCACACAGGGTCCACCTCCCTCTTCCCAAAGGGGGGCGTTTCCCTGCTCTTTGTTCAGCTCATGCATGTGGGGCACCCCAGTAGGCACAGCTGGGGGGGCAGAGAGCACAGTGAGGGGCCCATCATCAGCACAGACAGGGGCACAACCAAAGCTGCGGTCAGGGCCCTGCCTGTTGTTATGGCCAGGCCCAGGGGGCTCAGAGCCGAAGGGCCAGGCTGGGGCATACAGTGCAGCCTTCCTGCGCCCCGGCCAGGGTAAAGCCAGAGGCAGGTTCCCTACGGGATGGGATGACGCCCCAGGAATGGACCGTCCCAAACCTCCCCACACTGCTCCATGGGGCAGCATTCCTCGGACCTGCCTTCCCTGGCAACCAGGGAGCACCCTGCGCCTTCCACAGCCCCAGCCCGGAGGGGCCAAGGTCAACACCGCATGGGCCCGGGCAGCCAAGCACATGGCTGTACTGCCACACAGCCGAGATAGTAGAGAGGACTCCCGGCTCCCAAAGCCTGGAACGTGGCCTGGAGGAAACTGTGCCCACAGGCCCCCTCGGTAGCCACTGGGGGGCCCCCCCCAAGGCCTGCTCTTACTCCCCAGCAGGGCCAAGGCACGTCGGTGAAGCTGCCCAGGTGGGACCCTGCAGCTGCCCAGTGGAGAATGAGACTTCTGGGGATCTGGCCTGAAACCGGCCCGAGGCAGAACGCACCTGCCCCAGCCAGCCCCTCCCGAGAGACAGCACAAAGGGGCAGAGGGCTAGGTGACCCCTTTGTTCTCTCCCATAGTTCCCTGCAGCAATCACAACACCCAGGTCTGTTGGCAGAGGCAAGGGCCCCGACCCCCCTCCCCCGATAGTGCCCCACTCCCCCAGCACACAGCAAGGCGGACTCCCTGTTCAAACACCCTCCCCCCCAAAGCTCTGGGTTTTGGTTGAAGCGTTTATTAACATTTCAGTGAGAGTTAAGCACATGACGCAGTTTAGAGCTGGGGCAGGCGTGGCTCAGTAACACGGGGGGGGGGGGGGGGGAAGCCCGCCCCCCCCCCCCCGCGCTTGTGCCCTGGGGCCAGCAGGGGTTGAGATCAGACACAGCATGGCCAGTCCTGGGGCAGTGACCAAGGGCCACTCTGCTCCGCTTTGCTGGGCCTGGTCTGCCCCCCCACCCAGGCACTCCTGTGCCCAGTACTCTCAGCCCCTCCCCCCTTTACCTTTCCAAATTTGAAGTACTGGACATAGAGGATCCCGGCCTTCACGGGGGTCTCCATGGGCCCAGCCCGGCCTGGCAGGGGTATATGCAGAGGGCAGCGGTGCCGGTAATGGGGAGTGGTGGCCGCTGCAGTGGAGTGAGTGCGCGGGGAGACTTCCTTTCTCGCTAACTTCCCCTTTGTGGTGCGTGGGGTGAGGGGCAGGCAGCGCAGGGGAGCAACGGCCCCCAGGGAGACCAGCGGGGCCGAACGAGCATGGCAGAGGCAGCAGCAGCCCGCAGGGGACTGCTGGGTTCAGGCAGCCAAGCCTGGAGACGGTGCCCCGCTGCCCAGCTCCTCCGCAGCCAGCGACGGCACCGGACACGGCCCGCAGCAGAGGGTCGGCCAGAGCCCCAGGCTGCCCTTCCAGCCCCGAGCAACTCGAGTGAGGCCAGCACAACCACCCCTCAGAGCCCCAGGCCTTCGGCAGGTGTCACTGGGCCCAGCCCCGCGTGACAAGGGCCGGGTTTGCCTCTGGCCCTGGCTCTCCTGTGCCATGGGGCTTTGCAGGGCCTGCGAGAGGCTGGGGCTGGGGGCCCAGCTTGCCCCATCTCTGCATGGTGACACTGACTGATGTAATGGGCCATTGCAGCATAGCTCCGGTGCTTCCTCTCCGAGCAGGAACCGCGGGGCCTGGCCGAGCAGCACCGGCCCCTGGCCCACACAACACAGGGCACCTTACGACACGTCTGAGCCCAGAGGGAAGGGGCATGGCACTGCCTGCAGACAGCCCCGGCCCCACGTGCTCTTGGGAAGAAGTGGGGCCAGCTGCCAAGGCTGCTGGGCTCCAAGGAACTCTCCTGCCTGGCCCAGCGAGCACACACCGCAGGCAGCAGCGCAGCCCAGGAGCCTGGGCTAGAAGTCCATGGAGCTGTGTGCCAGGTAGTCCTTGCGGCCGATGTTGCTGACTTGCTTGGTCTGCATGGCTTCCAGCTTGGGGCAGTCGGTGATACGGTGGCCCAGGCCCCCACAGAAGGCACAGCCCCTCTCGTCTGCAATGGAGGGAGTGGGGTCAGAGGCAGCTTGCGGGGGGGGGGGGGCAGTGTGCACACCCCACGGCACAGGGGGAAGCAGCCCCAGCCCAGCCCCCCCAGAGGCAGGGCCAGCCCATCACGTGGGGAGCTGAGCCCCAGACCGCACACGACAGAGCAGGGAAGTGACCTCTCGAGTTCCAGGCTAGCGCTCCAACCAAGGGGAGCGCCGGGGGCTGGAGGTGCCAGCTCTGGGTGCTTTGCCCGAGGAGCGGCCTGCCAGCCGGGCAGTGCAGGGCTCCAGAGTGCCCTGCCCCTCTGTGTCTGCACCACCACACAGGCAGCAGTGCTCCGGGCCCCCCCGCCCCCCTGGGCTTCTGGGAGCTGCCGACCCCCTCACCTCCAATATCCAGCATGGTCTCGTCCCCGCAGTGCAGCACCTGCAGCACCGGGGGCACCTTCTGCTTGGCCTCCAACAGCAGCGCCTTCAAGTCCATGAGCACAGACTCATCTGGGGCAGAGAGGAACGTGAGAACGGAGCCCGGCTTTGCCCACCCCACAAGGGCCCATGAGATCTGGGTATCACAGCAGGACAGAGGGCAATTTTGGCTCACTCCAGTTGAGGCGCGGGGGGGGAGGGGACAGAACCAGCCGAGCTGGGGACAAGAGGAGTCTGCGAGAGCCAGCAAACCCCGCAGGGCAGCACAGCACCCCCTAGCACACGGGCAGCCCTACTGAGTCACCCGCCCTGCTCCTTGGGCCACATGGGGCCAGCCCTGCCTGTGCTAGGGAGCGCCCCCTAGTGAGCCCCGGCCCACTCCCTGCAGCAGGTGAGTGTTCCTTGAGGTCTCCCCTCGAAGCGCTGAGCCCAGCCCGGGGGCAAGCGCTCAGGGCAGAGAGACTCCTGGCCCAGCTCAGCCCAACTGCTGCGAACCCAAAGGGCAGCGACAGCCCCGCTCCCGTGCGCCCCTCACCACAGGCCTTGTTGATGAAGGTGGTGGCGATGCCAGTGTTCCCTGAGCGGCCCGTACGCCCAATTCGGTGAACTATGGGGAGAAACAGAGAGTCAGGGCCAGGCCACTGAGTGCAGAGAGCCAGGCAGGAATCCAGCTGGGCACCCAGACTGGGGAACTCCCCACCACAAGGAGAGCAGCCACTGCAGGGACAGGCCCAAGGACCTGTCCTCCCACCCCTGAACCGAGCCGTCAGCGTGAGCAAAGCAATCTGCCTGGCTCACCCTCCGTAAGGATCAGCCTCCGTCTGCAGCCAGGTTAAAAAATAGCAGCTGCCGTGAGCTACGAAGCAGGAAGTCACATCCCCACATTCCATCTACAGGACATTAAAACAAGGTCCTAGCCGGCTGCCCAAACGGAGATGCCGGCCTCATAGTGCCCACGGCCGTGTAGGAGGAGACCCCGTGCTAATGGCCCCCACCATCACCAGATACAGACAACTCCGTTTGATGCCTCCCGTCTGTCAAGGAACCATTTCAACAGTTGTGGTTGGGAAATCCTCGTTTTTTTATTGTTTATCATTATGGTCCCACTTCCCTATGGTTTGTCCGTATGATCTGTCTGGTTCTTTGATTGTTTCTGGCTGTTACGTAATTAATTTTGCTAGGTGTAAATTAATGAAGGTGGTGGGGTAGGATTGGTTAGAGAATTTTGTTACAATGTTAGGATTGGTTAGTAACATTTTAGTATGATGATTGGTTAAGGTACAGCTAAGCAGGACTCAAGTTTCACTATGTAAACTGGGGTCCAAAAGGAAGTTTTTGGGAACCAACTCCAGGACCCAGCCCCACGATCGGAGCTGCCAGACCTCAACACACTGCCAATGACACCGTGCAGAAACTGGAATCCCCCAGATGGACCTGATCCTGAGCCTGACTGGCCAGAGGGAAAAGTTCCTCTCTCTTATTGGGAGTGGTGAGCACTGTGTGTGTAGCGTCTGCCGTCTGCTTTGGTGATTGTTAATAAATAGAGGTTAAGTAGGATATTACTGTGTAAGGCTCTTTCACTGGTAAAAGACCCTGTAAACCCGAAAAAGATGAAGCCCGGAGCCCACAGGGAAAGGGTGTTTGCCCGGAGCCCACGGTGGGGCAGAGCCCAGAGCCCGTCGCCTGGAACCCTAGGAACTGGGTAAAAGTGAGTGCCCTAGAACGTGCGAATAACAGAATTTTGTGCGGGTAACACCTCTGCCTGGCTCACCCCCCTCCCCCGCCCTTGAGCCCTCTGCCCTACCGTAGTTCTCGATCTCCTCCGGCATGTCGTAGTTGATGACGTGCTGGATGGCTGGGAAATCCAAGCCCTTGGAGGCTACGTCGGTGGCAACCAGGACGTCCTTCTTCCCGTCTCGGAAGGCCTCGATGGCCTTCGTCCGCTCCTCCTGGTCTGCAAGGGCCCAGCCCAGAGGGTTAGCGCAGGTCCAGCTTTGCCAGCTAAGGGCCCTGCCCCCAAACCCACCTCACAGTGGGGCGTGGCAGAGCGATGCACCAAGTACTAGTCAGACCCCTCCCCCATGCACCGGACGCAGAGGGTCACGTGGGTCGGCCACCGCGGCAGGGTCCCATGGGGGCCCGAGGGAGTAGCCGGTCCAGGGAAGGCTCACTCATCTCCTCGGCCCTGCACCCGGTGTGGCGACCTGCCTGGCCATGGCCCAGGGCAGATGGAGCTGAGCCCAGAACAGCTCGTCACATTAGGGAGCTGGGGCCAGATTCACAGCAGAGGCCTGGGAACTGGGCTGTCTAGTCCCTTCCCAGCACTGCCCTACAGGCATTCCTCAGAAGCCATCTCAGGGCCCCACAGCCCCTGCTTTCGTTCAAAGCCATTACGTTTCTACCCGCAGGGCTGTGGCAACCGGCTGGGGAATGTGAACAGAGGCTGAGCTGGTGCAGCGCTACCTGCTTGAGTCTGCTGAGAGCCAGAACTGCTAGCTTTGAGAGGGGATCCCAGCCCTGCCCTTTCACACTCTGGGCTGCACCATTTCTGCTGCCAGGTGCCTGATGCTTTGCCTTCCTACCCCTGTCTTGCCAGGACCCGCCTGCAACTGCCTCCTGCTCCCCCGCTCCCCTCAGGGCAGTCAGCTGGATTCCATGGCATGCTCCCAGCGAAGAAGCCCTTAGTTCCCAGCCAATCTGACCTAGAGAGAAATTCCTTCTCGAGCCCAAACCCAGAGAATGTCAACAAGACCCACCAGTCTAGCATGCAGACACCACCTCGGAGCACTGGTCCACCTGAGAGGTGCCCTGTCTCCAGCTGTGGCCGATCCCTGGCATCCCAGAGAAAGGTGAGAAAACCCCAGAATACATCTAGGCAATTATGCACCAACAGAAAAATCTCCTGCCTGACCCCCACAGGTGACCAATTGATGCCCTGAAACCTGAGACTGGAATAGTCATTATCTTAATGCAGAGGGGCAGGGTTCTGAGCACGTTGAGGGCCTGCGTGCAACTCACCCCCTCCATGGGCCATTGGGGGAGCGGGGGGGGGGGGACAGGGCAACTCAGAGTCCATGGCCAGAAGGGACCGCGGTGACCATCCAGCCCATCACCCCAGGCATGCAGGCTGGGAGATTTTCCCCAGAAACTGGATTCAAGCCTAACTTTTTAAGCCATCTAATCTCACCTTCCAGACTCCAAGCAATGGGGAGTCCATCAGCTCCCCTGGTAAAAGCTCAATGACCCTCACAGCTGGGAAATGACCTCTCCTGGCAAGGCCTGATCTAACTTTCTCTGGGGATGCCTTTGTCAGCCAGGCTGTGGAGCACCCCGCTCTGGGGGAGCCTTTCCGTATCCTTCTTGGCAACAAGCTGCCCAAGCTGAGCGACTTACACCTCCCAGCCACGGCTTTTCCAGCCCCTGCACGGGCGCTTCGCGGCCCTGGCTACCAATCCCCTGGGGAATGCACCTGACTGGCAAATAGCCTCAATCAGATTGGATGTTTCACTCTGTGCTCAGGCTGGGATCCCCGAAGCAGTGCATGCTGGGGCTGGCCGCCTGGGGGCAGCACTGCTCTCCAGCAGCTCTCACTGACCTTTCCCTCCATGAATGGCCACTGCTTCCACGCCCTTGAGCAGCAGGTATTCGTGGATCGCGTCCACGTCAGCCTTCTTCTCCGCGAAGATCAGCACCTGCCACAGGGCCAGCGTCAGCACAGAGACCCCCATCGGACCCTCGCCCCCCGCGCTGCACAGAACCGACCAGCGCCCTGACAGCAGAGCCGCTGGCCGCAAGGTCTGCAGCTGAGAGCCTGGACACAGCAAGGAGTGCTGTGGACCCTGAAGGGCCTGGGCACGATCTCGTTCACTCCCCTCCCCACTCCGTGGCGAGCCACAGGGCCAGGAAGAGCTGGCCTGCATCAGGGCTGCCTTCCACCAGCAGGAGCAGCTACAGTCCCTGGGGCAGCCGGTGTGCGGTACTCACGGGCGGCGGGGTCTTCTGCAGGCACTCTAGCAGGTACACCATCTTGGCTTCCTCCTTCACATACTCCACTTCCTGAACACAAGCACAGGGCTCCGGTCAGAGAGGTGAGGGAGCTGGGAGAATACGCACAGGGCCGGGACTGTCTGGGAGGCACAGGTCGCAGGGCTCAGAGCAAACCCCTCTGGCAGACCGTGGATTCCGGCAGGGCCAGCGGGACCCAGCCATGCTGGGGTCCAGCACAGGGCATTTGGGAACTCACCTGTATGACATCCAGGCTGGCAGCTCCAGCTCGGCCCACATTGATGGTGATGGGCTTCACCAGGGCACTCTTGGCAAAGTTCTGGATCTTCTTGGGCATGGTGGCACTGAAGAGAAGGGTCTGCCTCTGGCCCTGGACCGAGAGCCAAGGGTAGGGAGGTTAGCACGGCCATTCAGCCAATACACGAATGGGGGAAGCGGAGCTCAGCAAGAGCCAGTGGGTGCTGGCAGGCACCCCGGACTCCCTACACAGGGGCCCTTGGAGAACAGCTTTGTGCCAGCAGGGCTGGGGCAGTACACGGTGCGACCAGAGCCCTGACAGAGCGGCACATGGGACAGCCAGCGTGAGACAGGGCAGAAATACAGTGCCAAGGGCTGGGAGGCCAAAGCCGTTACCCACAGTGAGAAGCTGCAGGAGGCAGCCGGGACCTGACAAGGAAACCATTAGTCCTGCCAGCCAGGACCCTGGCACTCCACACCAACCAGCGAGGCCCCAGCCAGGAGCTGGGTGCAGCGTTCCCCGGGCAGGTGGAGAGCTGTGCTGGCAACACACACCTCCGGGCTCCTGAGTGGGCCAGGCCAGGGACTGGGAACAAGGGAATTAAACCCTTCAGGGCAAAGGCTGCCCTGCACCCACACCTCCGCTACCCGCCAGCTACCTTGAAGTAAGAGAAGATGGTGCGGATGTCTCCTTCGAAGCCCATGTCGATCATCCTGTCGGCCTCATCCAGGGCCAGGTAGCGACAGATGTCCAGGCTCACCATCTTCTTCTGCAGCAGGTCCATGAGGCGGCCCGGGGTAGCCACCATCATGTGCACACCGCTGCAGGGCAGGGCAGGCAGGCGTCAGGGCTTCTGCGCAATCTGGCTGCAGGGGAGGAAGGGCCCCGCGAGCTGCCCACCTCGCCAGGGACCCAGCACACCACACCGCATGCCCCAGCCGCATGCTGCTGGCGGCCACCGTGCCCAGCCCCCACCCCAGCCTTCTCACCTTCGCCTCAGACTGATCCCCTCCTGCAGGGTGCCGAGGCTGCAGGCTCAGAACCCGGCTCCCAAGCAGGCCTGAGGAGATGCAGCGCCCAGTGAGACAGGCTGCTGCGTGCACTCCTCCCGGGGGCGCCCACACAGGGAGGGAAGGGTATTGCCCGCAGGTCCGCCCGCAGCAGGACTTACTGTTTGATAGTCTCCATCTGCTCCTTGACGGACATGCCCCCGATGCAGAGGGCACAGCGCAGCAGGGGCAGGCTGTCCTCATGCAGCAGGCGGCAGTAGTACTCAAGGATGCCGTGGGTCTGCCTGGCCAGCTCCCTCTGCAGAGAGAAGAGAGTCCATTATCCCCCACTACGCCCGCCTCTCTTGGCGGATGCCCAGATCTGACATCACCCCAGCAAGCCGCCGGCTAAGACCCGCCCGCGTGAGCCAAGCACACTTACAGAGGGGCAGATGATGAGTCCATAGGGTCCCTCTCTCTTGGAGAATGGCAGCCGTTTCTCCTGCTCCAGGCAGAACATGATGACGGGGAGCGTGAACACCAGGGTTTTCCCTGAGCCAGTGAATGCGATGCCGATCATGTCCCTGCCGGACAGGCTGCAGGAGACACGGGGAGCGGGTCAGTGGGAAGAGACTCCAACGCAGCGAGGAGCCCTGTGCCGGCCCCTGTGCGTTCCCAGGCAGGGCGGTGCCCTGCCCAGGGAGGCGGCAGATGGTGCATCACCGGGGCAGGGTGTCCAGCTCACCCCGCTGGCCATGGAGCAGGCAGCGCTCCCAGAGCTGGGAAAGGCAGCACTCACATGGTGGGGATGCCCTGGATCTGGATGGGGGTCGGCTGCTGGATTCCCTTTTTCTTCAGGCCTCTCAGGATAGCTGTGAACAGAACGTGGGGGGAGGGGGGCGTTAGCAGCACAAAAGTGGCCGGACGTGGGGCTGTGACCCACCCAGTTGCCAATAGCATTTGTTTCGTCAGTGGCACCCCCCAGGCCTTGCCTCCAGACCAGCAGCTCGGGGGGCCTGGCTGGGTCCCCTCAATTGGATCTGTGACCTCCAGGCACTACACACCAAGGTGCCGCCCCCTGACAACTCCTCCCTGCCCCAAGTCACCTGCCGGGAACTTCATTTCCTTGAAGCTCTTGATGGGTGGGGGGATGCCCTCGCCCTCCACCAGGACGTGGTACTTTCTGCGCACGCGGTCGTGCCGTGCCTCCGACATGCCCAGGATGTAATGCGGCGCCTTCCAGCTGAGGAGAGGGCAGGGGAGGAGGGTCAGCAAGGAAAGGGAAAACCAAACTGACTCAGCTGCACTCGCGGGTGCAGCCAGAGCTGAACGCTGCTTTGCTTGGCCAGGCAGCAGGTGGACCGGCCCAGCTGCGTACCCGCCGATCCCCCAGACAGAGACCCGAGCCCCTCAGAATTCCAGACTCCAATGGCACTAATGCAAAAGCTGGGGCCACCCACGAAGGGAGGACACAACCCCAAGCCTGCATCCCTCAGCATCCACCCACACGGCCCACTTCCAGAGCAGAGCAACTGAACTGTCAGCCCCCGAGCAGAATGGCCAGGCACTGCCTGGCGCTCTGGTGTGCTGCGGCCCGGTTCCCATGTGCGCTGGGGCACAGTGGGAGCAACTGCTCCACTCTGCATCAACCCTAATTCCATGGCCAAGGCTGGAATATCCTTCGCTCCCAGCGAGGCGCTCAGGTTAACGCACCCCCTGGGATACGAGTTATTGAGGAGTATTTCCCAGGGCGGTGCTTCTGTTATACCCCCGGCGGGGCCTGGTCCCCCCCACAGGCCAGGGAAGGAGCTGTAGCCCTCAGCGGCTTATCTCGCCAGCTCTCTAGGCCTCAGATGCTGCGTTGCTCTCTAGGCTGCCTATCTTGCCAGCACACGTGTCTGCCTTCCCAATTCCCCAGCTGGAGAGCAGGCTCCAGCTCTCACTCCCAGAGTCCCCAGCCCTGCTGTTCCGACCGTGGGACAGTGCGCACAGCTGAGGGTGGCTGCGGAGCAAGGATCAGCTGCAAGCAGGGCCCGACAGACACAACACGTGTGTGTGGGCAGAGCCTAGCACAATGGGGCCCTGAGCCACAACCAAGGCCCCCTGTGTGTTACCACAATACACACAGTAAACAGTACCACACCGTGCTGGGCACCTGGCTACAGCAGAAGGGTGAATCCCAGGGCATCTTGGGAAAATGCCAGGCTCCACAGCCAAAGAACTGTGGAGTCCATGGGACCCTGAATGAACTGACTGGGGCAGGTCAGAACTCCCTGCGCTACTCTTTCAGGCTCTCTGCAGATTCAAGCAGGCAGCACCACATCAGTCACACTTTTGAGATTTGCTCTGGAATCGCACGGTCTAGCCATTTTGAAATGATCGGTCAGCGTGGAGCACAAGTATGCAGCGAGAGTGAATTTGGAGGCAATTCCATGGCCACGCATCTGCAGGGC